GTTCTCTTTTATCCTAGAGCATCCTGAAGCAGTACCGAAGTATTCAGTAGGATCAGAAATGGTGCAGTCAAGTACTAGCTACGTCGCAAACGTCCGCCGTAGAACCGTAATGTTCTTGTGTTATTTTGCCAAAATCCACCTCCCAACCCCCTCTCTCTTTCTCTCTATCTCTCTCTTTCTCTCCCTCCCCTCTCTCTCTCTCTCTCTCTCTCTCTCTCTGGCCTCGTGGATTATCTCTTCTTCATCTAAATGGCTGTAGGACCCGCGCCTAAATGCCGTAGTTTCGCTTCTATTGTCTTCGCGTATCCCTTGGGAAAAGAGGTTGGGACTATGCGGGGCTCCTGGCTCTTTCTCGAGATTATTAACTTGGGAAGGGTGCGAGTTAGCCCAAGCCGCGGTGTACGGCTCTGTCCTTCTGCTAGAGGTCTAACCACCCATCTAGGGATACTAAAAGGTCCTTTTCGTTTACAGGGTTGAGAACAGGACGTAGCTACGTGCGAAGACAAGAAGAGAGACGAAGAGACGGAGGGAATTATTAGCTGTGGTGAGAATGCGTGCCGATTCCAGTTTTCTCCCACTTTGTTTTCCCCTTTCCATTAGAATCCTTGCCTCCTTATTCGACCTTGTTTTTTGTCTTTTTCTACATCTCTCTTTTTATCTCTCTCTTCCATGCTCTTCCATGTCTGTCTTTATCACCATTACTCATTCATTTTAGTTGTCACTCTCTTCGCGACGCTTCAGCCGCTGGTTAGTCCCACGACAGGACGCTGACTTTATCCTGACATCCACCTTCATAAAACTGAAGGCCTTCCGAAGCTGATGTATTTCTTCCTCTTCTTTATTTTCTGGACTTCATGTTTTTTCTCTTCCTCATCCAGTGGGACTGTATGTTTTTTTTCATGTTTGACCTCAGCTTTTTTATTCTTACGCAGAGACCCCTGCAAAAAAGACCCTCGTTTCATTATCTCGCTTTAGCGCCAGGCAAACTCTCTCTGCCAACCCCCTCCTCACCGCCCCCCCCTCTCTCACACTCGCTCTCTCTCTCTCTCTCTCTCTCTCTCTCTCTCTCTCTCTCTCTCTCTCTCTCTCTCATTTCAACTGTAAAACGGCCTCGCAAACGAAACGCGCGCACGTATAGTTCTCTCCTGCCCCTAAAGCTCGTCCCCAGAGGATGGGTGTAAAAATCTGAAAATTCTCCCAGTCTCGCGCTTCGCGACTTCCTTTTCAGTTTTCCACACCTGTGCGGACTACTCTTCACGCTTCTCTGTCTACTCATAGAAATCAGCGGCTGAATACCCCGGCCCCGTTGGTTGCGACGGCAAGCCCTGGAGCTTACAGCTTACAGCTCACAGCTGGAAGCTGCCAGCCATGTCCTCCTGAATAATGACTGAATCTTCTACAAGGCACTCTTACAGCTACGACCACCTTCCACTTCCACTCTACCTTCTCATCCTACGGTTATACTGCTATTGCGCCCTATAGACTGCTTCATTTTAGCCCAGTGCACCCTTACCTCGTCTTGACCTCCACTATGAACCCGACCAACGTCATGGCTCCTCGATACAAACTCTCCGCTAATAGTTAGAGACTCGTTCAATTGATGTACTAGGGATAACTTGGAAATGGTTAGTAGCAGAGCATTCATCGACGAGCGAATATTTGCTCTTGCTTCTCCAGGAATATGGACTATATACATTCGGGCGTCCATTGAAATGTTGTATACTCCATTAGACACCTTGGACTCTATAGAATCGCAAAGAGGTAAGATCTGACTGTATTAATCACAGCGTATCCTTGGAGGCTTTTCAAAAGAAAATCCTCTTGAGGGATCTGGAAGGGTTGGGAAAGTGAGATTACTTGAGCGTATCGTTCTGTTACAGGCTTTCGTCCACCTTGAACGTGGGCTAATGTCTTTTCATCCCAAGTAATTAACAGTGGTCTTGTTACATCAAAGGGCGACCCGGCAGAGTAATGACGGCCGTGGGATGTCGTGACAGTAACTGTAGTTACGTAAGGGAAGAGGGGGATGGAAATTTATGTGAAATTTTATAATTTTCAAAGCTTGTAAAATTATGATGTCACTTGGCTATGAGTATCAGTAATTACTCAGGATGTCCTTTGCGTCGGGACCTTATTGGCAGATTGCTACTCATCACAGTTTATATACAATAGCATGTGCTAGTCAGGGTGATATCAAAAGGTTACATAGGTGGGGAACGGTTATAGTCTGGTTCACATCCTTTCGTCTCTACTGAAGAATTTTCAACGGCATCGAGATTGGCAGCCGATTTATCCGAACATTCGTCTCGCGTAATTGAAAAGTCCCCAGGCGGACAGATGGACAGAGGAGACGAGCTGAGCTGAGTCACGACGCTGTACGACGTTCGAGAACTTCGACGTCGTTTAACACTTACCCAGAATGGTCCTTGAGGATGGGAATGGTGACTGGCTCCTCGGGCGGTACTCGTGAGCACTTGCGGTACAGTCATATTTGGCGTTCCGACAGCTCGCCCTGTCAGGAATAGCCAACCTCACGTTGGAGAGTTTCCTCGAATAGCAAAGTAGCTGGTGCCTGTAATAGGTGCTGAGATGATTTAATCGATCGCGATAAACACGTAAGGATTCCCTTGGCGTGAAAGTGGCTTCATTCTCATCCTCGACATTTTGAGCCGCCATTGCTAACTTGAATTTTCTAGTGCTTTTTTTATCTCCATACCTTTCCCTCTCCCATTTTCTATTTATCTATCCATCTAACTCTCTTACTTTTACTTGTATAAATTTTCCTTCATGAAATCTCACTTAGCCTCAAGACTAATATTCGTTCTCATTGGCACGTAATCTGTGGATAGTATCAGCAGGAATAAGTGATAAGCCATCCCCGATAACTGAATAAAAATCTTATTAAATTACCTATTAGTTTTACGAGGAGGGATGAAACTTTAGGTACCTGAGTCGTTGCCAGACTAATTTATCAAGGGTACTTCTTGTCGAAGTGATATTAAGGAGTGTGGAGAGAAATCAAGAGGAATAAAATTGTGAAGAGGGAAACAGAACAGATAAACAGACAAACGGGAAGGAGACAAAGGAAAATATAAATCTGAGAACGTATGAGGACCTGAGCGGATTCTACCGTTGTTACAATCGTTGTTTCACTTTATGAATATTGAACTTTGTATTTTACGAAAGCTTCACTTAATATTCATTGCTTCTCCGCATTGACGTCTCAGTGTTGGAGAAGACTGAGTAACGGAAGACTTATCTTTCTTTCTTTCTTTGTTTCTTATATACTCGTTCTGCTTCTAACATTTTCTTTACACCTCGCCAATGCAACTATTGGAATTTTCCATTTCTTTTTCTTTTTCTTTTATCACGATTTCTCTGTCGCCTCGTCTTTGTTTCTACTATTTCTATCGATTTCAATATTTTCACTATCTCCACCATTTTCAGCGTTTCTAACATTGATACCATTATTGTAACGAGGCCTGAGAAAACAAACGATTCACTCTCGTCCTCTGGGCTATTTCACGTGGAATATACAAGACTCTAGACAATACGTCCCCCAAGGGTGGCTTTTATCGAGTATCCTTAAGGACATCCCTTATTTTTTACCCTCGATTTCTTCACAAAGCATAAACATAAAGGGACAACCACCATTTGCTTGTATATTTGAAATACGGTATTTTCTGTCATTTCAAATAATTTGAAGGCAGCTAGAAGAGACTTTACTTTATTGCCAGTGGTATAAGATTAGTGATAGAATACCAATACCAATAGCAATCCAAGAGATTCCGACTGGCACAATAAAAAGAAATAATGTCTTTCCGGCAGTGTGGAATTTCATCGAGTCCCAAGACACGGGATAAGCGTTCTTAACGTATACGTTCAAGGAGGATCTTTAAAGGGATCCTGAAGGAACATGTAAGATGCGCCTAGAAATTGCCAACTGGTAGTAGCTAAAGTGTCAAGCTTCCTGGACAACGGTTCTGGCTGCTCCTGAGCCAGGATTTTTGGATCTTTTGTTGAAGTGGTAAGGCATGGTAGTTCTTCGCTCGGCCGCTGTCAGGGCCCACGGCATAGCTTCTACGTCGCGACGGCCTATGGAAAGGCAGAGAAACTAAGCAGTCCTTCCTTTTTCAAATTCTCTTTTTCTCTCCTCGTCTTTCTTACATTCTCTTAGTCTCGCTGATTCTCACTCTCTCCCGCCCTCAAGGGTGAGCCAATCGATATGGGATGGTTGGGAATGGGAAGCACGGGAACGAACAGGAGACAAGGGATGCTCGGATGCTGGGCCGTGGCGGCGCCGCGACGCCGGGCGTCACGATGTCCCGCAAATTCTTCTCTCTCCCTGTCTATACTCTCCTCTCTTTTCATCCTGTTTATATCTTCCTCCTCGTTCACTCCCTAAATTTCGGACTATTTCTCTCGCTTTTCTAACCGGATAAGGTTGGCTGCACTACTTGCCTGCCGCTTTACAACTTTTTCTACCTATTTCCATGGACGCGACACTGGCGCCTTCTATGAAGCAACGCGGCAAGCTCTACGGGAATTAGAATTTCCATTCAAAAACTCAACGGATCGATCGTCGCTCGGTACCCTGCTGATAAATACCCGATCGCGTGGATCGATGGTAAGACATGGAGTTCTTACGTAGATCGACAGATGGATTTATCATAGAGAGCCTATTGGCTTTTGACTCTTGTGAAGGAGGAGACGCCATTTTTTTTGCCAAATAGAAGTGAAACTGCTACTAGCAACCAGCGTCTTTCAACCGTAGAGTTACGGAGAAATCTAGGCCCCTTTTTAATGGAGCCAAGGCCTCGGATGTGTCCTCCTCGTTTGCTGTATTTTAAAATCAATTCGCCGTTGCTCGCGGCCTCTGTGTAATACATATGAAACACATGAGTTCCTGAGCGCCTGCGTTGGATTTCAAGAGCGTTACGTAAGCTGCGTCACGTCCGTGTTGCTACGCCAGTGGCGTATACAAAAAGGGTGCCCAAAACGGTACAACCCTATCGAACCAATATACACTCTCGACCCCTTGTGAATTCCATCAGAGAAGAATTTCACAGTACTACAGTCCGCCTTACGACTATCATCCTTTCCCATCTGTACCAGCTGCCATTAAGGTAGTGTACCACGTATAACACCCAGGTTCCATCTCTTTATCAAACATCTTGATACGAGCTCCTAAAAATCAGTCATTAAATTAATCCAACGGTAATCAGTTATATTAAACACATTATCAAGGTCTAGAAGAAGGAGGGTGCGACGACCAGCGTGCTGCGTGCGTCAACGTACTGCAGCGTACGTCACCGCGGCTCTACGTGGTGGTATGTACGTCCCTGTTCGATGGCAAGAGAGTGGGCAGAACTCGAGCAGAAGGCGGCCATTTTCCGTTGTTGTTCCTCTAGTCGTTCGTGCATCGTGAGTGTTTGTCGCACCTAAAGAAGATTCGGTAGACGAATCGACACCGATGGTGATTAGACGGTGCGATAAGAGGGCGATAACGTAAGTCTTCACTACGTACCGAGGCCTTAGAAAGGGTACCTCAGTCGTCGCCGTCCTCGTCGACACGGAGGGTGTTCATTTGAAAGCTCGTCTACTCCAAAAAGAGGCAGCAACGAGTTGACCAGTACATCAGAGAAGCGTGGCTAGTGCGAGGAGTGGAGTGGAGAGGAGTGGAACAGCGAGAGAGTGCGAGAGTAAGAAAATCAGAGGAAAAGAGAAAGAAGGAGAACAAGAGGTCTTCCGTAAACGGGAGTAAGGACTCCTAGAGATAGACAGCAGATCTCCCGAGAATTCTCGAGAGTTCGTGTCGAATCGTAGCAAATCGATCATTACAATCTGATACAACAATGGATACTCTACGTGGTGCCTTCACACTGCTCAGCTTGCTATTCTTAGCTACCAGCACGGTCCATGCAGGTGAGTACATCAGACATGGTGCTTGTAACGTAAAATTGGGCATAACCCTCTCTAGGATCGAGAAAAAGATTCACATTGCTAGTAATAATAGCTGTAGTTAATACGTAGCACTGTCAGATGAAATTGTTCTAGTTCTCGGACTGATATGATTACGTGCATTAGCACTAGCAGTATAGCAATAGCATTGAGTCATTATACTACACACAATGTTCGCGCAGTGCCTACAAAAAGGCAAGTTACGTGTGTACGATATTTACCTATAGATTTACCGCTTACGTACTCTCGAACCCAGCACGAATATCGCATTTAATAGATTAATCTTTTTTATACCATTATAGTAAATAGTTTATTGACGCACGTCTCTGATAGTCTACACGGCACGTCGCTTTTCCTAAGTGTGTTTATAACGGAAAAGATGTGTGATTAACGTCCAGTACCTAAATATCATCATCGGAATGAATTATGTTGATCGTTTGAAAACGTACGAACCTAACGATCACCTGGTAGAGCGAGTGCCGTAGCGGATGAGAAACGTCAAAATCACAGTGGCAGACAAAGATGAAGATTTGCGAGTTTTGTAAAATAGCAAAGGGAATTGTATCTCAGTTTTGGCGCACGCCGTCAGACATGGCGCTCAAGTTCCGCATAGAATCCTGAAGGTACGACAGGAGTGTGCGCGATACGGAATTCTCTGTCTGTCTTTAGAAAGTATTGCATCTGAGTAATGGAGAAATATAGTGCCTGATCCTTCAATAATTCTCAAACTACAAGACACAATATTCGTCTAGTAAACAGATATCCAATAGTTTCATCTACACAGGAACAAAGTACAAGTTGTTTTGCATGCTTAGCAATGAGAGAAAATCAGTTGTATTATCGCACGTACGAGAATCATTGTTCTTGTTCTCAACGTCGTCATCGTTGTTACCATCTTCAACGTCAACTTGAAAATAAAGTTTGACTATGAAAACAGGAGAGAAAATTATTTATCGCATAACTTTTGACATTGGTCAGTTTGTATATCTGCTAATATTTCTGATCGTAAACGTCAGCGTACTGTCACATGTATTATTTTCATTTACTTACTCATTCGTTTTCGTTATTCGCATTAGAGCGTCATGGTTCTATAGAATTCTTGGCTCTTAACAAGTTCTTTATAATATCTTTTCTTTATATCTATCTGCTGTTTGCTCCTCGTAACTGAGTCATGAGATTGACAATTATTGTCCTTAAATACCCTCGATTTTTGCTGACTCATTATATGCAAATAAATGACGTATAGACTTTATGTCCAGAGGCAAATTCCAGTGGGAAATAACTATCGTCATTACTTGGCTAGGGTATGAAGTCAGTACGTCTATCTGACAGTCAACTATAAACGAACGATGACGAGATACGCGTGTCTCTCATTCGTTGGAATTGAATTAGCAACTAAACAATTTCATCGAGCGTGTTATGCCTTCTGATGACGGCCACTTTCGAGGTCAGCCTTTTATATAAACATGAAAGCCGTATCGTGAACTCCACGAGATTCCTAACTTCTGCACTGCAAATCCAAGTATGTAGCGAGGTGCGTTATTTCCCATCATTTCTATGGTAGTCAATTTTCGCACAAAAGTGTATTACTTTTATAGTCTTATAGAAGTTATCATCGAGGTCCGACTGTACAATGAAAAGGATAGGAAATAGTAAACTTTGCTATACCCTTGAATTTGGAGTGTGTCCCATTTTTATTACTCATTAATTGAGTATACATTCGATAATTCTACGAATTACTTTTTTCTCCTTTTCTATCTTACTCCCATTTACTTATTCTTTTTTCTCTTTCACATACCTCCTTGCGGCTCGCATGCAGATATTGTCTTGCCGGTAGATACCAAACTGAGAACACCCTTTGCATGAGATATTTTTTACTCGCTTTACTAGTGAATGCGCGATGCCATTTTCTTTTTTAATACTTTTTCGTTAACCGCGCTGTGCAACGCATTCTTGGATTTCTCTTATCGCGAAGGACCGGGACCGAGAGCATTGAGGCATCACCAATGGTAAACAAGTAAATAGAGAAGCGATAAATCAGGTAGAGAAAAAGGACCCTATAGTGTATTCTTATGTTAAATACATATAAGAGTAAGATTGTATAGTTGGTACGCACGGTTTCCGTAGTCTATAGAGAAATAGACGTATACTAGAAAACTAGAATCAAACGATTATCCTCGTATCTCAAAGAGAATCATATATGTATTTAAATAAAAGTAAAAACCAAAAACAAACAGGAAAAAACAAATGTCGCTACTGAATGATTCTTGTTACACGTTGACGAAAGTCAACTACAAGGGACCTTCCCATGTCGACGAGGGTGAACCTTGGAGTATAGAGTGCACCAATGTCCAGCCTAAAGATGAAATCATATGGACCAGAAATAATGAATCCCTCGAACCGGAAATTCTGAAGGATGATCTGTCGATCGTGACGAAAACCAGAGCATTGAAGAGTAGCAGCATTTCAGCCCAGGAGGCTCGCCCTGACCACGCCGGCCGCTACAAGTGCACGAATAACTCCGAGGAGGCCTTTCCTCTCTTTGTTATTTCTGGTTCGTAGAAAATCAATCTACCAGAATCATCTGTCCAACGCCTATCAGATGTCTCCCCTATAGAATTTCACCAGCCGATAATACAATATCATATATATATATATATATGTAAAACACAATATATATACGTATATATATGCTATAACATGTATATTCTATGAGGAGTAACATATCTCTAACGAGAGACAGACATTGGTGTCTTTGTCTCTCAATCGTTCATGCTATTGTCATTTTATCTTCGTCTGTCTCCGCTTGTTTATGCTGTTTGTCTTGTGTGTCTCTGCGCCGATGGAACAGACTGTCTCTTGCAAATGTACATATAGTACATTCCGTGATGTACAAGCTTGCGTTGCTTGCGCGAGAAATGCCACATACCAAGCATCCATTTCGTTTGTCTCTTTATCCCATTGATTGGTTAATTTAATTTTATTGCGCAATATTGTACAATCTAGTATATCCGTGATTTGTAAAATTTTTATTTCTTTTTTTCTATTTTCATAATTTATATACGGTCGTATTTTACTTGCAACCCCGGATACTTTGTATTTAGTGACTCCGGAGGAAGCACCGTTTTCTTTTATTCGTTTTTTTTTCCCTTCCATGTGCTTGCCAAGCAGATGGAAATGGGTATGGCGAATAACTTTCCTTTCTTGTGGAAAATTCGACGGATCAAAGAACGAGGCCACGTTAGGCGGAGATGTGGGTTGGCCTTAGCCGTGCGATATTTTATTCGAAAATGCCGTGGATTAGCGAGATTTATGAAGGATCCTTTTGCTCAGTGCCTATTCCTTATTCTTTGCTCTTTATTTCTCACTTCTTATTCCTCGCTATTTCTTCCATCGTTCCTTGCTTTTATATTTTCTACAAGTCTCCCTCTTATTCTTTTCACCTTTCCTTGGGTCCGTCGAGCTGCTGCGGGTACCTGAAACGCCTGCAGGAGCTTCAGGATATTCCTAGTATAATTCCTCGCATTTGTCCTTGGTCCACGAGCCAGCATCGTGAGGACTACGGCGGCAGGGCGAGGGAGACACGGGATTGCCGTCGTAGAGATTTACGCGAATTGAAGGTAAAAAAGAGAAACTGGGAGGAAGAGACAACAAATACTAGGACGCTTTAAGACGTTACTGCAAGAACTCGTTTCTATTGCGTCATCGTCATCCTTTTGTTTTTTTTTTCTCAATTCTCCCCGTTCCTTTATCTAGCAAAGTTCCTGATGCTTCGTGTTTACGGACTCATACAAGTCGAAAGCGAGCAAATATTTACTTGAGTTAAGGTCGTCCAGGCCCGTAAATTATCGTGGTAAAATTAACTAGCTTAATATGCCGCGTGCACACGTGGCATGTCGCAATTTCTACAGAATTTTACGTTTTTTGCTCTCTTTATTCCGCATTCTCATTCTGCGACAACGCTACACGATGTATCCTACTTGAGAATAAATTCGAGTATAAATCTTAAATATTCGCGAGGGATGGCCAGATCGCGAGAAAAATGTATTTTCGAGTAATAACTGACGAGGAGTCATTCTCGCTGTAGAACTATATAGGTCATTAGATTAGACTTCGAATTGGTTTCACACGTTAGATATCCAGCGGGGATATGATAGAATAAGATACATCGGATATCGTCAGTCCTTAAAAAAATTTGATTGCGTAAGAAGTGGGATATTATCGATTTATCAATATATCTATATTGGGCTAGCAAACATCTATATAAATCTACGTGGTCCTGTCTATGTCAGTAATAATCATTCCGAAGTCATGGGACGAAATCGAATTGTCTCGAGTGCCAAATAAAGAAAGCATTTTTGTCTTACGTACAACACGTACACGACTACGATTCCTTTTACGTAAGCGATCTCAACTAGATAAAGCGTGATACGAGAGTAAATTAGATTTATTTGAATTGAAATTAAACGTGTCTGCTTTTATTCCTGCGAAATTACACTGTATTTCGATCTGTCTCTCTTATAATACGTGTAGCGGTCCTGTATCTATGTGAATAATAATTTACTTTGATATCGAAGCCGTTATCGTGCGTCATGCGCAGAAAAGATTTTCGTAAGAAAAGATAATGAAACATTGACGTCGATTCCCTGCAATTGCCTTGAGCCTCTTTACCTGAGATCTTACCTTGTTAGATAAGGTAAACGTGGCTAAGAAAGATACAGTAAAAAAGTGTCCAAATCGTTGTCGGGGGTTTCGTTGTAAAACTGGGGGAAATATCGCGAGAGTGTCGAGGAGTACCGACAACAGGCGTCGGCAGCCACAGGCGCTAGACTCTCGGGGCGCCTTTAGGGACGGCTAAATTTAGGCGGGTGCTCGGGCTTTTGACGACAAGAATAGCCGCGACATACCGGCTCGCACTCGGAAGCCGATTTCTCCCTGGGAAGGAAGTTCCTCGCGGGAGTTTCGCGAAACTCCAAAGTTTCTTCCGTAATCGTCATTTACTTCATTCAATTATATTATACAAGTATTTTGAGAAAGTCCTGTGGATGATCATCCCCCTTTACCTACCCTTCGATCTGGCTCTCCGTTCATATCCCCTTAACAAAATCGGAGTGAAAATTTCGAATTAAGCAACTCCGCTGCTAAGAGGGGCGTGGGGGGGGGGGAAGTTAAGCAGAAACTCCATTTGAGAGTCTAATCGAGAAGTCGGTGGGAACGGTTGTCGTCCGATCGAGTGAGCGTCCCTTGACTTAATGGAAAACTTTGATCCCGCTGGCAGCTGTCAGCTTGCCTCCCTTTGACAATTTTTCCTTGGTTAAGACTTAGAGCATGGAAGAAAAAATGTCCCTTGGAATCGAGTTGCTCGTTCGCGTTCGAATATGGCTGCCTGCGGTCGACAGTGGTTCACTGTGGTTGTCTGCAATTTCCCAAGTGGTATCACTTGGAAAGCGTCAAGAGGGAAAGGGAAACCGCTAATCCATTTATCCAGCTTTGATTCACCTTCCTACAGGCTGATTCGCAATTGCAAATACTCCTAGGATAATCGTTATACCAATCTCCTCCTGCTCCCACTCCTCCTCTTTCTCCTCCTCCTTCCATTCTCCCCTGAGTAACTCGAGGGAATACAAATGCGAAAAACGTAGAGTCGAAAGATAAGGTTATTTCAGAATCTCATACGAAATCGAACCATTCCCCGAGATGAGTGGAGGATTTTCCATGGTCCTCTTGGACCTCGAAACCGCACTGATATGCATATCATTCGCCATTTTCCATTTACCTTTTATTCTCCCACCAGTCTTCTCCCTATGTATTTTCAATGGATCCACGCAGGGTGGGTTGTACATACATCGATGATTTTTGGGAGCAAACTTTTCCACTCTCTCTAGAGCAAGAAGCTTTGCCTTCTTTTCTCTTTATTCCTTTACTTCCGAAAGACGTAGAACCTGATGGAAGAATTTGCCCCGGGCTATCACAGGTAGACGCCAGGAATCCATCCGGTGTTGCGGAGCCTTGCCGCTTCTTGAATTCCGCTTACAGTTCCCCGAAGCGCTTACCAGAGTTCCTTCCCATTCGTTCCAGGGCCCTTTTATCCTCATTCCATGAACACTCTCATTTCCTTTCATCAATCAGAAGACACAAGATCGACGTCCTTTGCTTTATCTCTCGCCACCTTAGATTCTAACGGAAACGGACGAAGCATCACCTTCGTCGATAGCCTTTGCTCTTTTCTCTTTTATACCATTTTCTGCGCCTGGATGCTACCCAATCGCTGATTGGCTTTCGAGAAACAATGCTTCCTCTCTGGAACTTGCTCATTATCTGTTGTATAATATTTGCCACTTGTGTTATCCGAGTCCGCCTGCAATATCATGACACTCACAGCGTCTTTGACTTGGTGCTTACGCTTAACATTCGACCCATCGCTACTTCAGTAATTTCATAAGGAGATGCAAAAATTGACAAAAGGAAAATACAAATAAAATAAACGAGAAAGTCAGACTTTGAAATTTTCGTACTTGAAGCGTAAACGTTTAGTTTCTCCGATGCTTGTGTCACTGATGCGTGTCCACGTAACAATCTTGATCTAATAAAAGAAAGAAAGAAAAAACGAAAACGACAATATTTCCGTATATACACGAAAGGTTGTGTGTTCGTATGGTACCATGATTCTGAAACGAAACGATGGAGTGTATCTCGCTGATAACGAAAGCCAGAGCTTTCTTCGTCGTTAAAAGTGCAAGCTACGCTGCTTTTTCATTTTTCACGAGATCAAACGAGTAAATGAGAAAAAAGAGATAGAGAGAGAGAGAGAGAGAGAGAGAGAGAGAGTTCTCCTCTCCATAAATGGAGGTGGAGGTATAAGTAGCCAGTTACATGTAAAAATAAATGAGAAAAAAGAGATAG